GTAGTGGTAGTCGTAGTAGTAGCAGTAGTAGTAGCAGTAGCAGTAGCAGTAGTAGTAGTAGTAGCAGTAGCAGTAGCAGTAGCAGTAGTAGTAGTAGTAGCAGTAGCAGTAGCAGTAGCAGTAGTATGATGATGATGGTCGTAGTGTAGTAATAGTAGTGGTAGGATGCAGGCTGTCCTCGCAGAAGTCCAGGTCTCGCAAAACCCACGGATGTTCGCAGCGTTGCCACACGGGGATCTTAACAAAGGGCTAAGGGTCTGGGGCTTTGGGTTTAGGGTTCAGGGCTTGGGGCTTAGGGTTTTCGGGCCTGGGGGCTTCCCAACTGTCCTGGTCAGGCACTTGGGTCCTTTTTCCGACGCTGCTAGAGATCTGAGAGAAACCTCAACTGCACTCTAAGCCGCGGTGGATTCCGGACTCTTGGAGTGGAATCTGCCTCTCTATCGACCTTTGCTTGAGTCTGTGGTCATCATTGCTGATATGATTGTTACTTCCTATTTCTGACGTCTGAAGGCAGAGCCCTGAACCCTAAACACTAAACCTGAGAGGCTCCAGGCGGCTGAAAGACCTACGAAGCTCTTATTTCTCTCCGTTGTGCACGGAGGCAGCCACTTAATTCGAGCTCAGCGACCGTTTTTGTTTCGATCACAGCCTCCTGAACACTATACACCATGCACACGCAGGAGTGGAGCCAGAAAGCATGTATCGCTCCATGGGTGGGGGCAGAAGGAGGTACCTAGGCCTAGGCCTCCCGCCGGGACGAGTTCGGCGTAAGTTGGTTAAAGTGAGGGATAGGTCTCCAGGCGCTCCATGGCGAGCCCAAGAGGCCACTCGGTGACTCGAAACTCTCTCATGGTCCCAATCTGCGACTCTTCCCCCATCTCTTCCTCGTTTGGGCCAGAAGCCTCAGCCTTCATCACACTCTGCTGCGAGGGAGTGGGTCTGAGCTTCTGGACCTCGGCCATGCTCTGGTGGTGCGTGATGAGATCGTCCAAAGAGTCGAAGATGTCCGGGCTGGCGTGCCGGGCGTAGTCGACGTCCCGCGCCGTGGTCCGACGCGTCTTCAAGTCCATCTGCGACTTCGCGAGGTAGGAGGTGATGGAAAAGCGTGCGGCGTGCATGCCATGCGCATGGACCGTAAAGGCCGGCACCCGCTGGGACTTGGGGTCCAGCAACTCCAGAAGCCGGACGTTCCAGTCGTGCTGTAGGTCCGTCAGTGGGAGGTCATTGGGATCATCTCCGAAGGGGTGGTCGATCTCCGCACAGATGTAGAAGAGCGCCCAGAAGCCCGACATGGTAATGAAGGTGACGCAGCCGGCATTGTACCAAGGATGCACAAACTGGCTCGTGATCATGCTCGTGATGATCGAGTGTACGGCCAACATGCTGGCAATGAGCTGTGCATACGGGAAAGGGAAAGGGATGTCGCGAATCTTCACCAGATCTGCCAGGTTGACCCTGCCCCTGCCCAAGTCCTGCCGCAGGAAGCATATATATATATATATATAGTCTATATATATATATACACACTATATAGTATGTATATATCTATATCATATAGTATATATAGTATATGTCAGAGGGCCCTCTCTGTCCGACACACCTCCTTCCTAAAAAAAGGCCTCGGACATGAAGAAAACAGAAAGCCTCAGACCTCCCCAAGAGGCCCCCGGGCCTGGAAGGATCTTGAGAGAATGGGCGCCGGGGCCACCAAGACCTGCTAGGGTTTAGGGTTTGGGGGTTTAGGGTTTAGGGTTTAGGGTTTAGGGTTTAGGGGTTTAGGGTTTAGGGTTTAGGGTTTAGGGTTCACCAAGACCTGCTTCAGGTGATTCTCGAGCACCAAACGCGTGAGCCAGAGGCAGAGCACGTCGCAACGGTTGGAGGCATCACGGATGTGCTGCAAGCTGGACACATCCACTCCGTAGACATCGATCAGCTCCAGCCGCTTGTCCTTCCCAGCTACTCCACGAAAACCTCCCTCTGATCCAATGAAAAAACCAAGTTGTGTTCCATGTCCAATCGTGCACGTTTGAGCCTTTAAAGCCTGAAAGCCCGCATTTTGAATTCGCGCCTTGAGCTTGCAGACGAGCTGTAATGCCGAGCAGTGCAGGAGGCTCATCAGCCTAACCAAGAGCTCCTGGAACAGCACCACCTGCTTCTCTGGTTAAGACTTACGGCTTCGAGGTGAAGATGCGGCGTGCAGTGCTTTTGCTTACGAGGTGATAGGCGCTGAACACTGGATGCCTCATTCTCTGACCCTCTGCTTCTCCCAGTTACAGGATGAAGATGCACTGGCCAAGGGCAAGACAGGAGTTCGGGAAACATGTGGCGATTTGGGGCCGGAGGTTGGAATGTGTTTGGGCTTTTGGGTTCTAGTATGCAGGCCTTCAGGCGTGGCGGCTTTTGTGGCAAAAATGGCCAAAAACGCTCACAAACACCAAGAAAGACTTTTAACATACCCCAGGCCGAGCTTTGGGGCCAAAAGGGCTAATGGTTTAGGGTTTTAGGTTTTAGAGTTCTGGGAGCCAAGGAGCAGCGATGCAGGAGTTGGGAGTCATATCACAGCTAGTCCCTGCAAGAGGTCCTCAGGCCTCTGCTGAACCTCATCTTGTAACAAACCTTATAGCCACCCTTCTAAAGTACCCTCCTAGTAACCTGCACTACCAAAGCGTTTCGGGTTTGGGGGGGTCCACCCCTCAATCTAAAACCACGCATCGGAAATCCAAAAGACCCTGAACCCCAGCACCCCAATGACCTCAAAACCCTCCCTCCAAACTTTCCACCCCAACCTCACGCCTAAAAGCTAAACCCCAAACTCCTGACTGCTGCAGAAAACTCTTGTTGTTATATAGAACCTAGGACCTATACGTCGTCGGCGCTGCTTCAAAGCTGCTGCAAACCCTAAACCCTAAACCCTAAACCTAAACCCTGAAACCCCAAACCCTGAACCTCAAACCCTTAACCTTAAGCTCTAAAACCTGAAGCCCTCAACCCTGTCGCCTGTTCCAACTTCTCCGGCTCAGCGGAGCAGAAGGCCAGAAGACTCGTGCACACGTTGAACCACTCTCCTGCTTAGGCTTGCATTAAAGGCTCCCTGAAGTACGACATGGGATACTAAAAGGGTTGCGATAAGGCCCCCTTAAGGGATAGTATAAGGGATCTCTGAAGACTTCGACGGGGCTTCTATCATGGTTCTATACAGAAGGTATCAGGAATCTAGAACGGGTTCCGCAAGCCGTTCTGTGGGGTTATGAGTTTAAGGTTGATGGGCTTATGGGATTAGGATTTAAGGGTTCTGAGGTTCAGGGGTGAGGGGTCTAGAAGTTTGGGGGTTCAGGGATCTGGAGTTTGGAGCATGGCAGAAGAATGAAGGTAGCTACCAGATGGGAATAGCAGCCTGCGATAACGATGTTAATGGCTAGTGATTGTATAACAGCAAGGGCTTCAAGTAACGTCAGCAACGACAAGGCTTACCAGCAACAGCGACTTCAACACACAAAGGGGCAGTAGTAATGGTACTACCAAACTCTAAACCCTAAACCAATAAGCCCTTTAGGGCCCTTTGCCCTAAACCCCCATACGATCGAGTGCCACCGGTCCTCGCATCTTGTTCATGAGCGTGACACCCTCCCAGAAGCGAGAATAAGCCTGGTTGTTTCGGAAGACCTGCGCTGCTGCCCGTCTGGTATTTCCAGAGACTCCAAAACCCCTCAAGTAAGGAATATACCTTAAATCGTATTAGGATCCTATTATAATTTAAGGTATATTCGGGGTTTTGGAATCTCTGGGTTGTCGTTAGCTACTCGTGTGCCATAAGGGCATCAAGGCACAGAAAATGGTAAGGAGACCACAAACCCGACCTTACGAGCGGAACAATCGCAAGACAAAAACGACGCCAATCTGCTACCCAACAAAAACTTCGCTAGAAGAGGAAGACCGGTCTAAGGTAAGCAGCAACAAGCATAGCCATAGTGGCACGTGCAGCAGTGAGCTGCAAGAATGACGACGGCAACAAAGTAAAAGCCAAGGAAAAAAAGTATATCACGCTGCGTTTGTATTGATTTGGTGCTTTTGCAGCTAGCGGCCACTTGTTGCTTACGCCGGCACGAAGAAACGCAATACTGAGAATAAAACGAATGACAATGACTGTAGCGCTATTGACAATGCCAGCCATACTAGGTGATACAAACAGGCGCAATTCATGACGAAAATGATACAACAAGCCGTAAACCCTATACCCTAAACCGAAGAGAGGCTGAAATCATGGCTACTGTCGTAGCAATGACACATACGACAAGATTGCGTCACACAACAGATCAGTAATGACGGTAGAACCAGACTGCTTTAAGAAGAGCAGCAATTAGAGGTCGTATAGTGACAATAATGGAAGGAAGCCTTAACATTGTGGTCCTACGAACTTCAACAGTATACGATTGATTCTCTGCTGATAGGCGAGAAGCTGCAGTATCCGAAAGAATCCACCTGTAACTCGCTGTTTGAATCACTGGACATCAGAACATCATGAGGATCTTGTCCATCAATCTGTGAGCTCCTACACCCCCAAACTCCTAAAACCTTAAACACCAAACCCTAAGCCCGAAATCATCAAAGCCGAGGTGCCACCAGGAAAGAGAGCACAAAGGAGTAACCTGACCACACCGTCCAAAGCCGCTCGCACCATTCCTCGGCGTCCCAGTAAACCTCCAGGAGGATGGCAAGGACCTCGGTGGGAGCATCAAGTTAAAAACTTTGCGATCTGCTGATCAGGCTTGATAGGATAATTTATATATTCTATAGTGTTGATAAGGTTATTGATGGTGTTGTATAGGGTGTTGCAAGGCATCTATCAGCGATTGCACAGTGGTTTTGGAAGCATTAGATTGGTTTCTGCGTTTTGGGCATTTGGGTTTCCGGATTTAGCGTTGAGGGTTGAGGACGCGGTGGTTTGTGGCTGATAGGGCTTAGGTTGTAAAGATTCGGTTGTAACGTCTAGGGTTCAGCGTCTGTGGCTACAAGCAATACTCACAAGAATGACCAGGCCTCCTTAAACCCTAAATCCTAAACCCTAAACCCTAAACCCTAAACCCTAAACCCCTAAACCCTAAACCCTAAACTTACCGGACAAAATCCTGGCAGCAACCCTTGTCAACACACAGAAGTGCAACAGCTCGGAGCTTGGTGATGCTGATCCTTCTGGGATATGTTCTTTCAGGTGATCTGAATTTGAGGACACCTTCGAGAGTTTGGGTTTAAGCTTCACGACAGATATTGATGTAATTCGCACCTCCTCTTTCAGTTACTAGTATTGCTCTGGCTATCATCTCTACTTCATCGGCACGGCTGCAATTCTTGTCGTTGCACCATTCTCAGTCACTTTTGCAGTCAACCCCGTTTTTGCTACTGCCTTGGCTTCCGGCGAGGCAGGCACTCAGCGTCGACAGAAAGTCTGACTGCAGAGGAGGCACGGTGCACGGAAGTGCACAGATCAGTGTCTTGGGAAAGACGGAACCTTGACACTTGATCAAGCCCCCGCAGAAGAACCAGCCGTCAAGCTCGTAGTCGATCATGACCACAAACACCAAGAAATCTACGAGATGTATAGGAACCCGAATGTCTGGAAAGATCACGCCGCTGACGCTGGATGTGTAGCTTTTGCAAACGATGAATTTGGGTTCCTACACAAGACAATCTATGATGCACGAATTGGTGATGGATGCTTCCGTTTGAACCAGCGATGCACGTGCATAAGTTCATAGGGTATGTCCATTTGCTCAGTCATCTACATTGTCATCATGTTCCATGGCACCACCACCAGTCGCATCATTTTCTTTACCAAGCTTGGTGCGTTTTTGCTGAAACTGCCACAATGGCCACACTAGAGAATTAAAACTGCAATTGATGACCACACCTTGTGATCTGAAACTCAGGTTCGAGTGCAGAAACTTGCTTAAAGCTTGAAGTATGGGACGGGGTGCCAGGCACTCTTTCTTTCATAGCATGCCACATGTTCGCCAACATACGTTTCAACTTCCTGGACACACTAAACCTAGCAACCATTCTTCCCCTTCCCCTTGCAGGCAATCTTGTTTCTCTGGAGTCTGTAGATCCAGCACGCCAGCGATTCGTTTCTTGACATTGAGGTTGACTCAATCAGGTTGGACTTGTCTGTTGTTTTGTACGTTTCCGCGGTATTATACCGCCGACAAAACCTGATCGACAACGCTTTGGACTTAAGCATTGCCTGTGATGCTACGCAAAACTGGAGGATCACCTTCCATTGCTGCAGAAGCCTCTTATCGGAGGTTGTTTGTGCCTGTGCAGCAGAACTTCCATGCTACACGTGCTGCGTGGCAGTTTCGAAGTGCTACATGTGCTACGTGGCAGTTTAGAAGTGCTACATGTGCTACGCGAGTTTCGCGAGCATAAAAAAGCTCGCGAAACTCGCGTAGCACATGTAGCACTTCGAAACTGCCTCGTAGCACATGTAGCACTTCAAAACTGCCACGTCGCACATGTAGTATGGAAGTTCTGCTACATTTGATTTATATAGTCGAGCAAAATAAGCTCGAAAAAAACCAAAAGTAGCTTCTTCGAGCAGAGAGCAAAAGCAGCTACACGTTCGAGGCTCAAAAATCGCTTATTTCGCTCCAAAGCAGCCTCTTCTCTAAAATCGAGAAAGCGCTTTAGAGCGAAGTTGAGCGATTTTTTAAGCCTCGAACATGCAGCTGTTTTTTCACTATGATCTCAGAAGCTGCTTTGGAGCGAAATTGAACGATTTTCAGTCTCGAACATGCAGCTGTCGAAGAGGCAGGTTTGGAGCAAAGTTAAGCGATTCTTCAGCCACGAACGTGCAGCTGTTTTCCTCGATCTCTGGCGAAGAGAGCGCTTTGGAGCGAACTTGAACGGTTTTTCAGCCTCGAACAGCGGCTGCTTTGGAGCGAAATTGAGCGATTTTTCAGCTTCGAACATGCAGCTTTTTTCGCTCTGGATCGAGACTGAAAAAATCGCTCCACTTTGCTTCAAAGTAGCCTTTTCGATCCTAGGAAAAAAATGCATGTTCGAGGCTTAAAAAATCTCTCAACTTTGCTCTTAAGCAGCCTCTTCGATGTTAGATGAAAAAAAAAACTGCATGTTTAAGGCTTACAAAATCGCTCGACTTTGCTCCAAAGCAGCGTCTTCGATCTTTCAAAAAAAAACAGCTGCACGTTCGAGGCTAAAACATCGCTTAACTTTGCTCCACAGCAGCTCTTCCGCTCCAAACGATTCAATATTGA